TGTTCTTCACCATACACTGTGTGAGAAAATGATGTACACCCCGAGTTGCCTAACCAAGTGATATTCATTAAACAATAGTCGGGTATAGGAGAGTTATCCGTATACCCAAACTTTGTTGTCAAGTGCATAATCACCCCACCCACTACAATTGTGCCTTTAGCCAAGCTTTCTTTCTTGAGGCGTGCCCACATCAAATTGCAAAGATTAAAATCCACAGCACGACGGAACAAAGCCATAATCATTAAACACATGTCTCCCATCCTAGTATGATGATTGTTGGGGCGCCCAAGTATACAATTTGCCAAGAACTTTAAGAATATCCGGAGAATGGGATAGTGAACATGGCTTATGTAAAGTTGGGAGGAACTAATTTCCCATTCTCCGGTCATTTTGGTCCAAAGTGCATGACCCATTATGGTGTTGTCTAAAATATCTCTCTCGTGGGGGACGGGGATGCCAAAATGTTCGGCAAACTCAAGTTTCGTTATTGAATATTCTTGGTTTAGCAAACGAAACGTGAGTTTATCATCCCTAAGATCATCCTCATTGCTCTCAAAACGAGCCGAACTTATGAACTCATAGATAATTTTTTCATTGGAGTTGTAGTTCATATTGAAAATTAGGTCCATACACAACTTATGAAAAAAAATTCTAGTGCTCTTAAGAATTCCTAAATCACGAAGAGCTTTATGGCAAAGAAAACGGGATGGTTTAACTTGCCTTGCTATTGTGGTGAGGATTCTAGCCCGGTGTACAGCGTCGACGAAGTGGATGTCCTCATAGCCTGGAATGGGTACCATGGAGTTGGAGCTCTCTCCCCTATTCTTTCTTGGAGCCATTGTTGGTGTTTTGGAGCTTAAAAATCCGAAATTCGAAATAGAGGGTAGGGTTTTCGGATTTTTGGAGTTTTAGGGGGAAAAGGGATTTGTAGGTATGGATGTGTAGAGTGGAGTGAGGGGAGTATTTTGGTGGTGGAATGGGATGATTTGGTGGAGGAATGAGGGAGATATGGTAGAGAGAAGGTAGAAAAATGGAGTTTGGGGGAGTTGAGTTCAAAGTTGGGTAGAGGGTTTGGAGAAGATGAAGTGTTTTGGGAGCTGTTTTGGGTATAAATCGCAGGTATACCCGATCGGGTATATGTCTTTTGTCCGGTTCTGAGCTGTGTACTCGATCGAGTCTCCGAGGCAGTGGCCTTAATTGTTTGTTTTTCCAGCTATACCCGATCGAGTATAAAGGTGTACTCGATCAGGTCTCTGAGGCAGTGGCTAGATTTGTTCATTTTTATCCATACCCGACCGAGTAAAAAGTAATACCCGATCGGGTATTCTACCTTTTGCATATTTTGAGCCTGGTACTCGATCGGATAGATTTGGCAGGCTGATTACCCTTTAGCTTTTCTAAAAATACCCGACTGAGTACGGAATTATACCCGGTCGGGTATGCCTGTATTTTGTAAAAACTTTTGCTGATCCGATCGAGTATTGCACTCGGTTCATCTTTTTAACCAATACTCGACCGAGTCATTGTAAATACTCGATCGAGTAATGCTCCCCAATTTTTTTTTTCGAAGGATTGTTTTTTCACACACACTCTATAAAAATAATAATAGAAAACATACCTTGAATAGGTTGCCTCCCATGAAGCGCTTTGTTTAACGTCGTGGCTCGACGATATCTTCGTTGCTCCTCATTCATAGACCGGTTCAGAAAGGTCTATGACTTACACGTTTTTGGGTTGAAAACCCTCAAAGAAGAAATCTCTGTCCGTTCACCTTGAGCACCTCTCCCGTCTCCAGGTCCTCAATTTCCACCGCCCCGTGTGGATATATTTTGACCACTTTGTATGGTCCAGTCCATCGGGATCTCAGCTTTCCCGGAAATAGACGAAGGCGTGATTGAAATAGGAGGACTTTGTCATCAAGTTTAAAGTCCTTTCTTATGATCAATTTATCGTGCCACTCCTTCGTCTTTCTTTTGTATATTTCCGCATTGTCATAAGAATCCAAACGGAGTTCTTCCAATTCTTGTAATTGGAGCTTCCTATACACACCGGCCTCGTCAAGATTGAGGTTGAATTCTTTCACCGCCCAATACAACTTATGTTCAAGCTCTACGGGAAGATGACAAGTTTTGCCAAACACATGTCTATAAGGGGACATATCGATTGGAGTTTTGTAGGCAGTTTGGTATGCCCATAGCGCATCATCAATGCGTATACTCCAATCCTTCCGGTTCGGGTTCACTGTTTTCTGGAGTATAGATTTCAACTCCCTGTTTGAGGTTTCCGCTTGGCCATTGGTTTGAGGGTGGTAAGCGGTAGAGCTCTTGTGAGTCACACCATATTTTTTTAGTAGGGATCCCACAATTTTATTACAAAAATGTGTGCCTCGATCGCTTATTAAAATTCGAGGGACCCCAAACCTTGAAAATATGTGTGATTTGAGAAAATTTGCAACCACCTTTGCATCATCAGTTTTGGTGGCTTTAGCTTCCACTCATTTGGAGACGTAATCCACCGCAAGGAAGATGTAGATGTTACCTTGAGAGTTTGGGAAAGGTCCCATGAAGTCAATGCCCCATGCATCGAAAATTTCACAAAAAAGCATGGGGTTTTGGGGCATCTCATTCCTCCTTGAAATATTCCCCGCTCTTTAGCAATTGTCACACGCCCGACAAAAACCATTTGCATCACGAAAAAGAGTTGGTCACCAAAAGCCACTTTCAAGTATCTTCATCGTCGTCCGTTTCGGGCCGAAATGTCCTCCACAAGCATAAGAATGACAAAACTCTATTATGTGAGCTATCTCATATTCGGCGAAAGGGAGTAGTCCAAACTGTATCTGCAACGTTTTTCTATCTTTGATTTCTTCCTCTCCGGCCGGGGGACCACCACCCTTGTCCATGATGGGTAGGTGCCTCGTTAAAAACCTTTACTAGGAAAAAACCCAGTGGGAAAAAATCCTAATAAAGGGAAAAAGAGTACACCTAGCGCCCCCAACATGAAACAAGGAAGGTAAGTCCCCTCCGGCATAATTAATTTAGCTCAACTGCTCTTCATCTGACTCAGCTTTCATTCCTGCTCATGCGTGACATTTTCTGCTCATCTAGATACTCTGACTCCTCAGTCCCCCAGTCCCTCACTCCTTGAGGCGAGTGGAGACGAGGTGAAAATGAGTAAAGTTATCTTCGTACCTACACATTCAACATACTTATAATTTTTTTCTTGGGATTTAAGTTTCCAATCGGGAGTTCGTCACTTGAAACAAGTGGAGATGTGAATTGTTAATGTAATGATAAAATACTTAGTAGAATGGATGTGTGAGCCATTCGTAAGCAACGGTCGCCACTCGAGGAATGACTAAGACCAGTCTTCGTGCCCGACTTGGTCAGGGCTTTGTCTTCATGCCTGACTTGGTCGGGGCTTTGTGCCTGATCTTGGTCAGGGCTTTAAATCCTAGTGATAGGTCTCAAGCCACACTCTACTAGGCATTTGATCATAAGTGCGTGATAGTGTGACATTCACTTGAAAAAAAAATGATTTAAATAATATAAAAATTAAAGAGTACTCATCTTTTTTAAGTGGGCTGAAATAATGCACCGATTGGGCTGAAAAATATCCAACTGATTCCTTTGGGCTGATAAAGAAATTGGGCCTGATTCCTTACTGAGCTGGTCTGCCTAATAATTTTGGCCAGGTCTACGAAACGCTCTAATTAGCTGGCAAGTGGCCGGCAAGTAATTGGCAAGTGACCAAGAGGCAGCCTGTCACCTTCCTCTCTTAGGAATCTTTGTAGCTGCTACCAACTGATGAGGACGGCCCCAGCATGGCGGGCGAGGTGGGAGAGTATGGGTGAAGCGACCGGGTAGAGAAAAGGGGTGGCGAGCGACGGCGCCGCATCCATGGTGGAGCCCAGAGTGAGCTGCAGACCTGTGCATTACTGACTTGCTGTATGATGAGGTCCGGTGGAGGAGCTGAACTTGCAAGGCTTGCCTCTTCCAGATCCAGAACTTGAAGATCCCGGTCTGGAAACTATGGCCAGTGATTCACAGTGGTCGGCGAGATCCGTGGTAGTGGTGGCCAGCTGGCGGCAAGAATGTTTTGGAGTGGGACACAATGTAGGGCCGCACGACCTGGGACACAGCTGTGGGAAATCCCAGATTCCCGATTCTCCATCTCTGCTCTTTGCTAAAAAAATTTATGAACTTTCCATACAGTTTCTTGGTTTTGCCTTTGCCATCACGGGATGTGTAGAGCTCTGGTTGCGACTGCGAGCTGTCCTTGTGGCGGAGCACGGACTTGGGGCTTCCTTGACCGGCAGATTCCTCAACTTGATGCGTCCTTACGCCTCTTTAGGTTGGATTCTGGCTCGAGGACGGAGCTTCCCAATCGGCCATTAATGGCGGACTCTTAAGGTTAAGCTCCAGGGGCTGAGTCATTCAAGCCCGGAAACCAATGCGGTGGCGCAGCGGCCAGGCGCGACGCTGTTAGGGTTGAGGCGAAGGAGCTTGTACCTGGCAGCGGCTTCAGCTCAGACCTGGGGACGGGGGTGAGCTTCAGCAGGCGACAAGCCTCTGCTATGGCGTGTGCCGGTGGTGACCGTCTTTCCGGAAAGACATCTCTGGCGCTGTATCGCAAATCGCTAATTTTCTGATCTCGTCCGTTGCTCTTTCCATATCCAATTTCTGACTCTCTTTTTTAATTTCCAGATCATTTTTGGGTTGATTTTTTTGTGATTGAAATGATTTTTGGATGTTTTGGGAGGTTTTCTCACTTGATTGTGTTCAAACCTCTCAACGAGAGCACAATATGATGGATAGCGTACCCGGGGGTAGCTCATTCGAGGGGTTATTTGTAGGGTTGTAAATGAATCAAATAATTTGTGCTCGATTCGCGATTCGAATTCGTATAAGATGATTCGAATTCGAAAAATTCAAATACAAATACAAATAAGAATATTAAATTTGATTCGAGTTGTTATCAAATACAAATAAGAATATCAGTGTATTCGATGAAAAAGAGCAGCTTGAGAAGATGAAAAATGAGATCGCAGAATTCTCTAAGAACCCACAAGCTTTACTTTTGGAGGCAGTTCACTCCGCTGGTTATGTTGGACCTTTTGCAAATCCACTTATGGCTAGTGAAGCCTCAATTAACAAGTTAGATGGCACTGCTTTGGAGGAATTTGTTGCTGAGAATTACACTGCTTCTCGCATGGTGCTTGCTGCATCTGGTGTTGAGCATGAAGAACTGTTGAGGATTGCTGAACCATTGCTTTCTGACTTGCCTAATGTGCCTCGGTATGAGGAGCCTAAGCCTATATATGTAGGAGGTGACTACCGTTGTCAAGCCGAACAAGGGATGACTCATTTTGCCCTTGCTTTTGAAGTTCCTGGTGGCTGGCATAAGGAAAAGGATGCAATGATTTTAACAGTGCTTCAGATGCTTATGGGAGGGGGTGGCTCTTTCTCTGCCGGTGGCCCTGGAAAGGGAATGTACTCAAGGCTATACCTCCGTGTCTTGAATGAGTACCCACAAGTCCATGCATTCTCTGCATTCAGCAGCATTTACAATAGTTCCGGATTATTTGGCATTCAGGCAACCACTTTTTCTGATTTTTCATCAAAAGCTGTTGATATAGCAGTTAAAGAGCTGACTGCCATTGCAAATCCTGGTGAAGTTGACCAAAGTCAGCTTGATCGTGCTAAACAGGCAACAAAATCCGCCATTCTGATGAACTTAGAATCCAGGATGGTTGCATCAGAAGACATAGGCAGACAAGTTTTGACATATGGCGAGAGGAAACCTGTTGACCATTTCTTGAAAGCAATTGAAGAAGTTTCAGCAAAGGATATTGCATCAGTTGCCCAAAAACTTATATCATCTCCTCTCACCATGGCTTCCTATGGAGACGTTCTTAATCTTCCAAGTTATGACAATGTTAGCAGCCATTTCCGGTCCAAATAATTTCCTCAGCTGCAGAATCGGAAACTCAGAAGTTAATAACTTTTTTTTTGCACATTTGGAAGTTTTTGAGCTACTCTTTGGCCATATATTTATGGGAATAATCAATCTTTTATAATAATTGAACCTTAGTTTGTGTCTAGCAAAATGCGTAAACTTGATTATTTTATGATTATTACATTGCAATTGAAAAAAAAAAAAAAAAAAAAAAAAAAAAAAAAATATCAGTGTATTCGATTCGAATATTAATCAAATATATTCGATTAATAATAATGGTAATATTAATATCAACATTGATGATAATAATAATAATAACAACACTATAATAACTTTTAAAACATAGCAATACTCTCAAAGTGCAGCTCATATATACATTGGGATATACATTTTAGCATACAAATTCCAAGCTCATTTGTAATAAAACAAAATATAAATATGAATACAAATTAAATTTTTGGTTCAAAAGTCTTTCAATACAATACAAATAATTATGTATTTGATTTGAAGAATAAAAATAGAGTTGTTTGACTTTGATATATACAATTATCAACTTATTTCACAGATTATAAGTATAATTTCTTATATGTGTGTGTTAGTGTTTATTTCAAAAAGTTTGGAATAGATTTATATTTATTAATCATAAAATTAATTCACTTTAGTATATTGTGCACCATCTAAAAATGCATTGATCCATTAAATTTAAATTCTAAAAACACATATTAAGTCATAGTATGCATTTACAGTATAAGAAAAGTTATTTAAAAGTGATATTTGACTAATATTCAACCTATGCTCAAATCGATTCGATATTCGTATATGATTCGTTAACTATTCGTATTATTAAACAAATACAAATACAAATCGAAATTAATATTCGTTTCATATTTGAATTCGAATTCGTATTCGAAAAAATTAAACAAATACAAATACAAAATTTCATTATTCGACTCGATTCGATTCGTATACTGATGGAGTATATGGCCCAGGAACCCCCGGCCCATAGACTCCTACTTCCCCTGCACAAGTCCATTAAGCCCAGAGAACAACTCAGGCCCAAATGCGACGGCCCAAGCCCCAAAGACGCCCAGAATACACACTGGGGTGCCTTCGGCCTCCTTGGCCGAAGGCTACAAAACTCACAGGACAGCCTTCTCTGACATAAGAAACTACTGGGAGAAAACGGCAAAAACATGAGCCTTCGGCATTGTCGAGCCTTCGGCTGAAGGAGGCCTTCGGTCACACGAGGCCTTCGGCCATACGGGGGCCCTCACCGCATGGAGCCCTCGGCTGCACAAGGAGCCTTCGGCTACACAGGGGTCCTTGCCACATGGAGCCCTCGGCTACGCAAGGAGCCTTCGGCTAACTACTCAATCATCGAAGATTCCTTTTGGAGACAGCCAACCACCGCATTTAATGCCACGTAACATCCGCCAACCGCATTCAATGCGGTAAACGTACCACTGTCGGTGCCAACCGGCTGATGTGACCCTTCGGCCGTTGGATTACTGACACGTGTACTCTCATCGCATTTATTGCTGCTATAAATAGCAGCTCATTTCTCCTTGTAAATCATGATCGACATCCCCAACTCCACATCTCGAGTTCATTTAATAAATCGACTCTCTCTCCTCCTATTTGCTCTGACTTCTCTCTAGTTGTTCCCGCAATAACCCCTCGGATAAGATACCCCCCGGGTAGACTGTCCATCATATACAACCCTAGTTATTTGGGGTATAACCTAGAGAGAAGTCAGAGCAAATAAGTGAGAGAGAGAGAGAGTCAGATGTATTAATGAAATCTGATCTGGGATCCTTTACAAGAGGAATATGGGCTGCTATTCATAGCAGCAATAAATGCGACGAGCGTACACGTGTCAGGAATCTAACGGTCGAGGGGTCACCTCAATCGGGGTGGCATCGACATTCGCATGTGCACCGCATTAAGTGCGGAGGGTGGACGTGACACCGCATTAAATGCGGTGGTTGTTTGTCTCCAAAGGGAATCTTCGGTGATTGAGCTGTTAGCCGAAGGCTCCCCTGTGATCGATGGCTCTGTGCAGCCGAAGGTTCAGTGTAGCCGAAGGCTACTCTTACGCCGAGGGCACCAATGCCGACGGCTCCTGATTTCTGCCGTTTTGTCCGAGTAGCTTTGTATGCTCAAATCTGGTTGCCCTGTGAGTTTTTGAGCCCTCGGCCATGGTGCCGAAGGCATCCCCAGGCGCGCTGCGGGTTTCTTTGGGCTTGGGCCACGGTGTTTTGGGCTTCATGCGCTTCTTGGACCAGTTGGGCTTGTGTTGGAGTAGTGGGAGTCTGTGGGCCGGGGGTTCCCGAGCCATATACTCCATCAATGATCATCAAACGACCTCAAAAGTGTGAAAGGCTAAGAAAGAATTTTTTGAAGGTAGAGAGCAGGGGTGGGCATATCGGTTTTCAGTTCGATTTGGAACGGATTGAGAAAATTATTACCAAACAAAAGTCATGTTATTTTGCAGTTTGGTTCGGTTTGGTTTAATTCGATTTGGTTCAGTTTGGATTTATTATGTTTTAATAATATATGAAGATTTTATTGAATTTCTTTAATTCGATTCGATTTTGTTCGATTTTTATCGGTTTTGATTCAGTTTGGTTTAATATAATTTGAAAGAAGTACTACTAAATTTAAATCAAATTGCATATGTCTGATTTGGGTTCAATTTAGTTGGATTTGATATGGTTCAGTTGAATTGAATCAAACCAATATGTCCAAATGAGTTTAATATGAACGCTAAACTATATAGGATGATACGGACCACGGACTAAATCATACTCCCTACGTCCCAAAATCGTTGACCAATGTTGACTTACACGTGAATTAATTAAGTAAAAACTGTGTGGTTGAAATTTGTGCAGAAAAGTAGCTAAAAATTGTGGAGAAAAAAATGTCAACTTTCATTCATTCTTGAAAGAGAACTAAATACCCCAACTTCTTCTATCTCCTTCATTTTATCGTTTCAGCAGAAAAGAAAAGGGGAGTATTAAACTATTAATACATTACAGTCATTCAATCATTCAATCTCATCGATTTCAGCTTATAAGTTAACTGCAACCAAACCAAGAAGAAGCAACCCCTTCATCTTCTTCCTGTTCCAGAGCTCCATGAAGCAGAGCTTCAGATTCCTGCATCAACTCCGGGCTCAATCTGAACATAAGAACGCAGAATTCCATCTCATCCAAAGCCCCATCGCCGTCGATATCCCCTTCCCTCACCATGCTCTGTAGCTCGTCGTCCCTCAATTCCTGAAGCCCCAAAACCGCGGCGTTCCTCTTCAGGCTCTGGAAGGTAATCACCCCTTTCTCGCCGTCCATCAGCAGCCGGAATCCGTTGCAGAGCTCCCGTATCAGCCCTTCTCCGCCGAGCTTGTCCGCCATCAGCGGCAGCATGTCTTGGAACTCGTTTCCTCTGCCGCCGCCTGTCATTTCTCTTAAAGATTGGGTTTTTAATTTCTTGATGATGAGGAAGAGGGAGTTGGTATTGATATATAGATGGCAGAATGTTGGGAGGATTGTTCCTGGAAATTACGGGGTGGATGAGTAATAAAGCGGGTCTGGTATTTCTTACAAATAAAATAAAAGAATTAATTCCATTTTTTGTCCTATGAATTTTATATTCATTTCATATTTAATTCATGTCTTTCATCGTGTCCATTTTTGTACCTGAATAACGTTTTTTAACCTTTTGTGACTTTTCCGGCAATTTTAACAATTGAAAATATGATTGGGACGAACCATATATGAACGAAAATACAATAATCATGTATAAAATTGGACAAAATAAAAGATATGGACAAAATGTGAAATTAACGGACCAAAAAGTGAAATTTATTCTAAATTACAATACTCCGTAAGAATATTACAACTCATACTTTTTTTCCAGATAAACGCAATTGGTCTTTAACTTTTTAACTTTTTGAATTATGAAGAGCATAATTCATGAGATATCCGCATATTAAGTCTTTTATTACACGTATTTTTGAATTTATTTTTATATATAGATTGGGTTTTATAAATAAAAAATTGTCGGGTAGTGCATTCCCGACGCTATCTCTTATTCTCTGAGACCCTGTACTGGAGGCACAAGACATGCTGCGTGCTCCATGATGTGCCGGGTGTGGGCGACCCAATTGTGTACGGAGTATTATTTATCTGATATTAATAATTTTGTAATTGCAAGAAAATATAAAGAAAATTTTATGAGAGGAAGAGTGTACCAAATTACAATTTGCCACGGTTTGTATGTTGAAAGAATAAATAGCTATCATTTATTAAAATTAGATAAAGTATATAAAAAATAGATAAATTATAAAATACACCCACTTTATGTATTTCACCTAAATTATAATACACCCACTTTCTCACTTTTATTGGAAAAGAGAAAGATGAATAAAAACAAAAAGTAATTAGATCAATAGTCTTGTGCAGTGACGAGATTGTAATAAACTATTGTGTTGGTAGTTGCTACGATGCGGCTTTTTATTCATTTTTTTATTCATTTTTTGCAAATCTGAGTTTCTCAAATGAGTTTTTTAGAAAAATATTACTAAAATAAAACTTATTTACATAAATATCACTATTCATTACTACAACATAATGTTGTGGACTTGTGGTAACATGAATTACTAATATTTCATTACTATTCTAGTAACTAGTCATATTTTTGTAAACCATCTTTATTTTGATCATATTTATGTAATTATTTCTTCTCGAATTACATTGGGAAATTTACCGGGATATGACTAAAACTCAATGAGTTTATCAATATATGACTTAACTAGTTTTTATACCTTTGTATGATCAAAAATCCAAAAACAAATAGAAAATTCGTTTATATTTAAATGTTGAATACGAAAATATCCTTATTTAAAGGGGGGATTTGACTTTGCACCCCATTTTTTGGATAATATTGGACTTTGCACCCCATTTTGAAAAAACTTTGACTTTGCACCCCATTCCACTTAAAAATCCTTTGACTTTGCACTCCATTTAGAAAATTTTCTTCACAAAGTGATATGTGCTAGGGTGCAAAATCAAAGTTTTTTCAAATTGGGGTGCAAAGTCCAATATCACCCAAAAAGTGGGGTGCAAACTCAAATTCTCCCTTATTTAAAATATGTGCATTTTGCACTAATTTCGTCCAATTAAAATTACTGCACTTTGTATTGTCGTTAATGCACAAAATTAATGCATGACTTTACTGCACATCCGGTAATAATCACTGCACTTCCCCTAAAATTAATTCTCTTCTTATTCAATTGAGGATTTTTTTCAATTTAATAATTCTATTATTTTACATCTAATTAAGTGTATTGCATTTCATGATGATATCACTGCTTTGTGTTACTGCAATACTGATCATAATCACTGCACAACAAAATTTCTTAATGCATTCGTTAACTGTCATGTACAACATGTCTATTACCATATTTATTCACTGCCTCAATTTAATGCCCACAAATCCTAATTTTAGAAACTTTTAATTTCAAAAACAAAAAACCAAAAATGAGAATGAAAAGCAAAAATAGAAAGGGAAAAAACGTATTGCAGCGCCGCACTTCACCAAATTGAAAACCCTATTTCCTTCATGCGCACCAAAGCACAAACCCATCTTCATCTAAAACTTCAGCGCCGCACAAACCCATCTTAACCAAAATTCATCACCTGCGCCGCACTATCCATTCTTTCTGCTTGGTTCTGGCAACACTCCGACGGTTGAGGTAGGCCCATGGGACAAAACCAGGCGGCTAGGCGGCGGCGCTCATGGATCGAGACGGCGGTAGGGCTGGTGGCGTCAGTAATGGCGATGGTTGCAACGAACGTGTGGCTAGGGGTGGCCGGGCAAGCAAGCGACTGGATTCATACGTAGCCGGCGATCGTGCTCCTGGACGGTGACGGACAGCAGGCCATGGGGCGGCGGCGGTAGTGGTGTGCGGCTGCAGGCAGGCGGACCTATGGAGGTGAGATAATGGAGGCTATGGTTGGAGACAAGAGTAGGAGTTTAGGGTTTTATAGATATAACCTAAAGAGTATATTTGTCCAACTAAATTATTTATTTATTTATTTATTCCGAATTTTAATTAATTATTATGAGTTTTAATATTATTTTGGTATAAAAACTAGTTAGGTCATAGATTGGAAAAACGAACAAGTTTTAGTTATACCTAGGGTAGTTAACTCAATTACATTAATGTCATCGAGATTTGTAATGAGAAAGTCGACCTAATTCACTCACAGGGCCGGTCCTCGGGGGTGGGCAACAGGGGCGACCACCCTAGGCCCGAAAATATATAGAGACAAAAATAGACCCAATTTTTTTCCTCCATATATAGTTTGAGTAGACTTCTTTTTTTATTTTAAGTTTAATTAATTAGGCCTAATGTTTTAAATTTTGTTGACAATTTGAAAAAAATAGAACATAAGTAAAATGTCTTAAACGAAGCCAAGTTTAAAAAACGAATATACATTAATTTTAAGTAGGGCTAGTTGTAGTTTTAAAGCAACACAATGAATTAATAAGAGACACGTCTCTTCGGTCTTCACATATCTTTAGTTTTTAATGCTTTTAATTCATTTTAGGATAGTATTGATGGTTTTGCTTCACATTGTTCTACGATAAACAATTCAAGTAATATTTTTTCTTTTTATATAATACTTGTGTTGTTACGTTTGTCTAAATATGTAAATTCAATAACAGTAAAGTGATTTGGGCCTTAAATTTTCGATCTTTCTTAGATATTCTTGTTATAATTCATATTTTAAATATTTATAGTTGAAGATTTATTTTGTGTATAAACCCAATGTTGTATATTTCGCCCATAGGCCCAGAAATGGGTAAGACCGGCCCTGTTCACTCATTTTGAACTTATGAATGATCTTGAGAATGATTCTCACTTTTCATGAAAATTACACTTTTCACTTGAATTTGTACATATACGCATAGTACAAACTCGGTATGTAATCTATATCTATAGGGAAATTTTCCTCGATGTGACTAGAAGATAGACAACTTCCCGAAATATGACTAGAAAACTCCCCTGCCTTTAATATGAGTAATTGGATGGTGCGAGATATCATGCATCATCATACATCCCAATTAAATACCCTAATACCCTTGAGAATTATTGTCATACATAGACGTTCTCCGTTTTTTTAGGCAGCACTTCGTATGCATTAATTATCATCCCATCCATAACACCAAAAGGTGTCCTGCTCCGTTAGAATTAAAATATCATCGAACTAAAAATACGACAATGTATGGGAAGTTTGTCGCCGACGCAAAGATGGCAGTGGATATATATAGGGCAATAATTTTTGGACAATAAAACATTAAATTTGGCCTTTAAATATGGTTGGGGCAGTAAATAAAATTATGGTCGGGCAGTAAATATGATTGGGCAGTAAATAAAATTATGGCCTACATGTAATTATTTTTCAAAATATTCACTTTATTCACAATGCAAATTTTCACTTTAACCACAATGGGGGTGTTTGGCAATCGGCCAGCGGCGGACGCAGGATTTGCCGATAGCAGGGGCGGCAGTACAAGAATATACACACAAATACATATACATTAAAAATTTCGGGGTAAATATACCTAGAATTTTTTTTCGGCGGAGGGGCGGCAGCCCCCCATAGCCCCCATGTGTGTCCGCCACTGCAATCGGCTGTTGGCTGTTGGCTGTTGGTCGATTACGTCAGCTGTTTTATGATAGCAGTTTCTGTTGGCTGTTTTGATTAGCTGATATTATTAACAATTTGTAAAATGATGTTTGGTTAAAGTGGCTGTTTACAATTAGCTGATAACTTGTCAAATGACCTTTAAGGACGTCAATTAATTATTTTTATTGTGGACATATATATATATACGTAAGACACTTTATGTACGTATCATACAATATTGATGCTAGTAGTATCACTACTTAGACCATTTTTATGAATTTAAAAATAAAAACTTAATAAGAAAAGTAACAATATCTTGTAAAAAATTGTTCATGTATTAATAAATTTAAATGATAACTTGATAAATAAATGAAGTTACAAGTAAAAAATATATTTAAAAAAATTGTCTAACAAAAGTAAAAAATGCATTTAAATAATAATGTCACCATAATCAAAACACCAACAATCACTTAATCGTAACGATAACGTATCTTAAAAAATCATATTATTCTTTCTCTATGAACATCTTTTCGCTGCCATCAAACTAGATGCAATATTATCACGAATGACTGTCATTTCACGGACTCTCATATGTTCAACGCCTTGTCCAGAAGTAGACTCAACGTCACGAAAGATATCATCTGGTATGAAATCTGGATCTCGGTCAATGATATTAAAACCTGGATCCCCAATCGTGCTCTTCCGAATGTAGTTATGCAGTGCAAAACAAGAACAAATTATCTTATTCTGGTCACATAATGAATATATGGGCATTTTTTGTAATATTCTCCACCGCGCCTTAAGAACTCCGAAAGCCCTCTCAATGCAACTTCTTAGAGATGAATGCGCTCGATTA